CCCAGCTTGAGCAAGTTGAGAGGCCACCAGAGCTGCCAAGAACAAGCCCCAGCAAACTGAAGAAAGCTGCAGGTTGGGGTTGGTTCTTTTTCCTGGGGCATTAACCCTTGAGCACCACAGAAATAAGTTGGGCCTGGCAATAGCCATTTATTCTCAGCCATTGCCTCAGTGCCCTTGGCAATGTCCTTTACTTAAACAAATCAGTTATTGGACTAAGTGGAGGAGGATCTGCAATTGTTACCGCCACCTTTTCAGGCATAGCCAGTCTGTTCTGGAACAGAGTGAGTAGAGGACAAGAAAGAACCAGAGTGGCCTCCTTCCAATAAAGTGACTGCGTGATTAATGGAAATCAGCAGCACAGTACATTTCAAGTTTGAGACCTGAAAAGTTTCAGAGAAACAGCACAGCATTAAGGAGTGAAGTCAGGATGAAGTCAACAGACTGAAAGAAGTTAAAAGCATGCACAAAGGACAGATTGTGTTGTAACCTTGTGTCAGAATCTTTACTCTCTAAACGCTAAGCTAAATAGGTGTTGACCGGTCTGCCTCATTGGGAGGGATGTGGCTGTCTCCTCATAAGTAGACTCGCCAACCTCTGTTGTGCCTCCCTCTGCTCGGCTCTGCACGACCTAAGTTCTGCTGGGGAAGCAACTCTTCCTCTTCGCCACTGGCCAGTTGCAGCTGCGTTTCTTCTCCAGACTGTATGGCCAGTTGGTTGTACTAACTGGCTGCAGCCAAGCCTCTCCTTCTGCCTGTGCAGCCGGCTGTTTGTCCAGTAACTCACTCTCAGATCCCCTTGATGTTCTAGGCACCACTTTGCCTTGACCATCCACTCCTGACACAGAGCCTTCCAGGTCCCCCGATGCTCCCTACTGTCCCTCCCTGATGTCCTTGGAGCCCGCTCTTCCTCAAATTCATGCCGGTGTCCAAAGGAGCCATCACATTCTCCTTAGCAGCCACTGAATTCAATATCCACTGAGTTCTTCCCAAAAACCTTTAGATGTCATAATGTATTGGCGTAGTATATGTGTGGACCAAGCACTATAGCTTTTGTAATTGAGAGATGGACTTTTAAATGCTGTCCAAGATTTTTTGGTATAGCATTATATGATGCTGATAACCATTGGGACTGCTATGGCCAGTTTATGCCATAATCTTTCAACTTCAATTTTCACATCTTGATACTTTGAGATCTTCGCCAGTTCTTTGTCTTCTCCTCCTTCACACTGTTTTCTTTTCAAATACAGTTAAATCTAGAGTATTACAAGATTTTATCACTTTGTATTCAGAAATTCCTCAATATTTTAACCTGCACATTTTCAACTACTTTTTCAACTGTATGTTTCCACTGATTTTTTGTTACTGGTGATGATGATTTTTAAAAATGTTCCAGTGAATTAATTTGGAAACTGTGTTATGTCATTATTTATTTATCAGTTTGTGTGATTTTTTTGAATTAGCTAAGTGTATGGTTATTGTTTCTTTTGCTTCTTTCCACAATCTGCACTTTGATGATTTTTCAATTCTGGCCTTGGTTGCATTCATTAGAATTGCTTGATTCGAGCAGCCAAAATCTAGCCTTCAGTTCCTTTTTTTAAAGTTCCAAATGTATTATTAATGTGCTAAGTATTATTATTCTGGACTATCTATATTTTAAACAATGAAAATGCAAGACTCTACAATTCTTACTAGCATTCTTGACAATCTTTACAATGCACCTCTTTTTTCTGCTGGCAGTAGCACCAGGCAGACTCCTCACCTCTTTCAGAACCTCCACATCCTTTCCTAAATAGCCAAATCTTACAGTTGAATCACCAATCACAAGATGGCTTCTCTTTTTAGATCTCCTTCCCTTACCAAAGACAACTTGTTCCTCACGGACCATAACAAGTCCAAGACATGCGGAAGTCTGCATAGAGTCAATGGGATCATGGCACAACAAAGTCAATACAAGTCCATAGGTTGAAAGCATGAGAAAGACAGCACTGAGTCCAGGAGTCAAGGCATAATGAAGGCATGATGAAGTCAAGGCATGATGAAGAAATAGGTCCAGTTTCTTTTTTAAAAATTCCATTGCTTATTCATATTCTTAATGTTGTTATAGATTTAATCTTCAATTTGATTCACAGTCTGGGACTAGTAAAAACTTAACAGTTCAAGTCTTAACCAAGGACCTAAGAGCAATTAAGGTAACATCTGAATATATAGGCAGTTCTGAGAAAGATGATTTTTTGTAATGTCAGAATATTCAGGTCTAATAAGTTCAAAATTTCCATGTATCTAGGTAACCCTTTGGGTATTGTTCCAAGGGCTTCTATTACTATTGGTACAACCTTTGATTTTTTTCCTCCACAATCACTCAACTTCAATCACGATATTTTGGGATTTTTTTCTAGATGTTTTTTTTCAATTTGTACAATACTTGGTATTGCAATATCAATTAACCAGATTTTTTTTCTTTTCTACAATAGTGATGTCAGGCGTGTTGTGGGCCAGATGTCTGTTTCGATTCGAAAGTTCCACATTGTTACTGTTTTTGTTCTAGACCAGACATGTCAAACTGCCGGCCCATGGGCCGGATGCATCATACTGAAACCACGCCCACCCCATTGGCAGCAATGGGGAAAAAGTTGTGATAGGTCGCACAATGTCACGTGACATCACAAGTTTGACATGCCTGTTCTAGACTATCTACCCTTTGAATAATGAAAATACAAGACTCTACAATGGATACAATGAGTGGATAGTCAAGAAAGGATTTTATAGTGTCTGACATATCTGTACATATGTATGGATTCCATTCTCACTCTTGATCTTTAGTCAAACATTGAATCAAGTTCTAACATTTTACTCTTTTTGTAAGGATCTGTGCATAAACTCTGAAGCTCAATACTTTGTTCAATAAACAGATAACCAAACTGACTTCAGCAATGTTAGTTTAGAATTCTGTATTCTGTATAAGTTCTTATATTTCTCTATAGTTTTCAAACAATCTGATGAAACAATGGGTTTTTGAAATCCACAAAAGGAAAAAAGGTTTCCAGAAAAATTGCCATTGCCATTGCCATATAAAGTGTGTATGATCATTCTGACTTTCAGTGTAAAAATATGTCTGGTAATATATAGCCCTCTTGACTTTCCACATTTTCATTCAATTCAGTTCAATTGCATTCCAAAGGCTGCATGGATATCTGTGGGAAGTGGAATAATGGGAGACATATGGCAACAGAACTATATTAAATTGCATTTTTGCTTACTACATCAGGGTACAATGGTCAGAGAGAGTATATCATGACACCACAAAATTTTATTTGGCTATTTTCATGTAATGATTTGCATCAAACATCAATGGTGTCTTGAGCAAATTCCTCTGTGGAAAACTTTTCAGAAGTGTGCTTATACAACCACTAGGGGGAGACCTGCTGTTGAGAAATTGCCTGAGAATTTTGGAGAAATCATCCAATTTTCATGATGGGTATTATCTTTTGTGATTAAATTCTGAATCTGTCGGATTTGGGGAAAAGCCAATTTGGTGTAGTGGTTAAGGCACAAGTCTAGAAACCAGAAGACTGTGAGTTCTAGTTCCACCTTAAGCATGAAAGCCAGCTGAGTCACTGGTTCAGTCACTCACTCTCGGCCCAACCTACCTCACAGAGTTGCTGTTCTGATGAAAACAGGAGAAGTATTAGATATTGTTTTATAAATAACTCAAGGTGGTAAACATAACAGCAAGATAAAAAACTAAGAAATAATGAATAAATAAAATGTGTCAAATGACTAGTGCTATCATTATTACCAGAACCAAATTAAAGGATGATTTATAAGCTCATTGAGTAGACAGGCTAGACTGTGTCAGGAAGTTTAATTTGACTCCATAACTATTTTTAGAGTTCTTGTAAAGAAAACAGATTGCCTGCCATGGGGAATGTCCTTGTTCCCTACCATCCAAATCTTTAACAGCAGGAAAGGGGAATGGAAAAAATACCAAATTCTTAAAGTCACACAAATGAGAGTACAGTGAATAATTGACATGTCCAATGAGGAGAATGTGAAAAGAGGAGCCAAATTTGTGATTAACAAAATAGGCGTTGTATTAGTTCTCTCCCTCAAATCCAGCCCAAAATAAACAGTTAGTTTGGCAGATCCAATTTAATAGTTACTTGTGAAGTTAGTAGACAATCAATAACTATGTGGGGAAATCAGTCATTTTATCCCATGTGATAAAAACATTTGGAGGATGTGGGAAAGTAAGATGAGGAAAGCAAAAGGATGCAGCCAGCAGATTCTAAATAATGTGAAGTGGAATCAACCTGGATCCATATTTAGCAAGCAGTTCATTTTAGTTTTGAGTAAAAGAAAGGACTGTACTTTTCTCCAAAGCAATTACATTACACTGCCAGAGAAGACAATGGAGAAGATGACTAAGAAGCTTTTTTATCTTCTTCTGCAAGCCCTAGCTACCATCTTCTAAGGCAGGGGTTCCTAAACCTTTTGCCATCAAATCTCTCTTAGTGTAATCTTAATGTATACAATTCCCCTAAAAACGCAGACACTCAAATGAACACAAATAAACCATAAAAACAATATAGTGAAACTTGGGAAAACACTGATATATCGTAACAATGCACCGAGAGGTACTTCATAACTCGCACGAACTCTGCTCACAACCTCTCCAAGAGACGTAGTCCTCACTTTGGAAATCCTGCTTTAAGGCCAACATGCTTTGCTGCAATCTGGCAGTCATGAGAATATTTGCAGGCCAGGTACGAGAGCTTACAATCCTCTGACAGCATTTGAGATAAGGAGAATAAAGAAAGAAAATGGCAGAATCAAGGACTATGATCTTAGGCCTAACAAGTTTTTTTTTCCCCATGTGGTTTCACCCATCTAATTGACGGAATCAGTTATATCTGTTCCTTGCTTCCAATGCTATGAAGTTCACAGGATGGTACTGGTATCTATAACTGATCTGTAAGAGGAAAGATGGTGGGAACAACTCACCAGTTCTGTATGAGGCTGATAACCTGTGAATATGTTTTCCCAATGATGCTTTCACCATTCACTTTAACCAAACGGTCTCCTGCAAAAAAGATAGGAAACTGAGAAAGCATAACCTTGTTACATCCATTGTATCTTGCACTGAAGGCAAAGAAGAGAGAAGAGAAAGCATATTTTTGCCAAACCATTTTTATTATTTATTTATTCATTCATTTAACTTATATGCCACCTATCTTGTCTAGCGGCAACTCTAGTTGGCAAATAACTGTATAAACAAGATAAAACATTAAAATATTAATATTACTATTAATATTAATATTCACAAAGATGGCAAAGAAGGGAGCAAGGTACAAACTATTTTAAAAAAACTTTGAATTCAGATGATCTGCAGTAGGAAAAGTAGCACTTCAAAAATAGCATAACTTGAAAATACAACAGATGCTTTTTTGAATAAAGTAATTGCTTTTTAAAAATGTGTTATTTTAATTTGTAAGAAGAACAAAAATTAAAAGGTAAAAAAACACAAACCAAACAGAAAAAAGAAAAAAGAAGGAAACAACAAAAACATATCATTGATATAGGAAATCATTCCAGCCAATTTTTAAATACATTGTTAAAACTTGAACAGATGGAATATTGATCAGTTTTTCCATTACATTGATGGAGGCAATTTATAAATAGAAAACAGGTTACATTCAATTCAAATTTGTAAATGTGGAATCACCTCTTTCTAAAAGAATATGAGTGCAAGAGAAATTGCTGTGCCTCAGGATGATAACTCTGCAGTTCCTCATACAATGATAATAAACCTATAGAGAAGATCAGCTATAAATGGTTTCTTTTTTGCCTAAAGTCTCATTTAAAATGGAAACTGTTTAGGAGCTTTAATTAATATTGAAGACTATAAGCTTATTCTGGAAAAAGCTGGTATCTTCAAACAGAACCTGATAGATGGGTAAGAAAGCTGAGATTCCACACTATTTCGTGATTTGTGTAGAGAAATAAAGAATCATAGGGAACAATGTTTTTATGCTCCATCACAAAATTAAAAACAAAAATTAACAAAACCTAGCATACTTTCCAGCCATGATATTTTTATCTTTTACAGAGATATAATCCTCTTAAATTAAATATCCACTGCTCCTTTAATTATTTCCTGGCATCTGAAACATTAATCAGAGGCAGTGGAGAGTTCTTTCTCAGATTTACTTCACAGCTTCTCCTTGAGTTTTAAAGTACCAATACTTTTCTCTCTCAAGCAAAAAGAGAAGCTGGGGTAATCCAATTATGTGAACTGGGAATATCTGTAACGTGCATAAATGGATGCATATTCTCTCTGAATTCTCTTGCCCAACAAAATAATTACATTCACAATAGCATCAGAGTTATGTCCAGGTTTCTGAGGCTACTCCAGTATACAGTAAAACCAAAATTGGGAGAGATGTGTATATAGCAGTAACATGGAGCAATTTCCATATCTGTTCAGTGCTCATTTTAGCTTACTAATATAAAGACCCGCAAATGGCCCAGCATGAGAAAACAGGAGGAAAAAAACCAAATGAGAATTGCTTCTTCAAACTTCTACATAACGTTATGTTATACAAAATTCTTAAGTGGGTCAATAAGAGGATCCTAGTGCATTAGTTAACTTCCCAAGAGGTAAATGTAGCCATGCATAAGATTTAACTTCTTCTACTGTCCCAAGTATCTTGGGAACTGCTGATGTGAGGTTGACTAATCCTTAACTCTTACAAAATCGAGATATCCAGGGAAAAGGAACCACATCAGATATTCCACCTCTATATCTGGTTTGGTTTTTACTCTTCAGGAAGAGAAATAGAAAAGTGGGGGGGAAAACGCTTGAAAATTTTCAATAGCATGTGGAATTTTTCTTTTTCTTTCTGCTTCAGTTTGGGAAAAAAGAAAAGGATGTGGTGCAGGAGGTAACAGCTAGGAAGATTGGTTGTTTCAACACAGATCCAACCATCCCCATGTACTGTTAGTTAGTTACTGACAGGGAAGAGGGGAAAGGGGTTGATCATGTCATTAGAATACTGACATACAGCTGTAATAATGACATTCATGTCTTACCTGTCTGGAGACCCGCCTGGTGTGCTGGCCCCTCTTCCTTTACATTTTTGACAAAGATGGTGTCCATGGGTTCCAGCCGGTTCCGTGGAGGAGCTATATGTTGATGATTAAATATATATATATATAGTACCAGGAGTTTTGATACCTCTCTTATTTATTTGTATGTTCTATGATAAAACCATGCAGAATTCTGAGACCTGAATTATTGTTTGGCAGGCTGTCTGTGAGATTAGTTGAAATGGGAAGTTTATACAAAACTATTCCAACATTCCCTGAAAAATAGTCTTGTGGTATTACAAAATCCATGGACAGAAAGAAAAAGAGGACAAATAAGAACAAGGTAGATGGATTTAATTGCAGCATCAGTGGAAGACCTGAATAACCATACTGAATGTGGATAATCCAGGAGAAAATCTATTTATATGTTCACTAGAGGTGATATCAATGTAATGGCACATTATCATCATCATACAATTCAAAAATATGCACAGCAGTCTTCCATGACTACCACAACACTGCCCTGATTTAACTATTCCAACAATGCTCAGTGCCTACTTCTTAAAGGAAGCATCCAGAAAAGCCAAAATATTTTTATGAAAGACAGAAAAAATGCATTTCTGATGGCATCAAGTCTGCTCAATTTAAAATTCTGCTTCAAGGCATTGGAATCGCATCTTGTCTTTCAAATGGGAAAGCGAACAAAGTCTACCATGGTTAATTAAAACTTAACTGACTTCACACTGATCCTCTTACTGATCCTTTAAATAAATACTGAGATTGCCCCTCAATCTTCAGCCCCTGGATCTCCTGTCAGTCTTTTAAAAGACTTAACAGATTTAACTACAAACTCTCCATCAAATGAATCCTTTCTCAGATTTTCCCAACCAGTATGAACATTGCTGAGAATCCTGGAGCTATAGTCCACATTAGAAGGTGCCTAAATTAGGGAAGGTTAGATTCACTTTGGAAAAGAAGGCTTATCAATCTAGATATATAATATATATTATACGATATTATATATTTGGTTCAAAGTCTTCCAAACAAACCACACATTTTTTTTCTTTTTACTCAGATATATGCAAGGGCAATTCAACTATAATTTTAACATGGACAAAGGCGTTTGTAATTGTTTTGACTTCCGTCTTACAATGGTTTGGGAGGTCCATGGGTTTTGATCTATGAAAAAAATTATATTGTCAAACACTACCTAACCATTTTTAGTGGATCACTTTTTGGCAACATAAATAAATGCAATCCACAAAAGGAATATTATATGTGTAGTGCTACCCCCAAAAGGGCTGCAAAGTCCAGCTTCCTTTGTCCCTTTCTCCCCTATAACTTGGGGTCTTTTGGCTCAAAGTCACTGATCTAGTGTCTCAGGATTTCTTGTTCTGATCATTCGCCCAGTCACCTTTACTCGCCTGGCTCAGTTCACCTCCATAGTATTCCTGGTGTATCTAGTATCCCCTCTGGTCATTGCTCACTTTTGCTCGGTTAGTTTAACGCGCTCTCACTCTCGCTCTCTCAGCATTGTTCCCTTTCTTTCTCTTTGGATTGACTTCACTCTTACTCCCTCTCCCCCCCTCTATCCGGCCCCTACTGCCTCCCATGCAGCCCCACTAAACAGGGACCAGGCAGTGGGGTGGGGTGGTGACAGGATAAACACTTATCCCCCTATCCCTTCTTTCCTCCCCTCCTCCTCCTCTGTTTGCTTTTCCACATCTCTGCTGTCTCTTTTCCCTCAGGCTGCTTCTCTCTCTTCTTTGCTCTGTCTAACTCTTTTTCCATCTTTCCTTCTTCCCTTCTTTGTTCTTCCCCTCGCCATGTGTCTCCTTGGCTTTTTATCCCCCTTTTCCCCTGGGCCACTCTTTCCTCTCTAATTTCCAGCGGGTCTCTGTGATGTGCCTTGAGGTGATTCAGAGCCCCAGGTTGCCCGCGCTACTCAGCAGGATTCTGGGACTCTCTCCGCTGCCCAGCTGATTGTGACCATCGGGGCTGCTCTTTTCCACTGCCCAGTTGATCGTGCCCATACTCCCCTCACCCAAATTTCTTTGGTCCCCCAAAGAGCAGTTTACTAACAGCCTATATGTACATTATATGTCTCTTGCTGGTGAGATGATGTTAATCCTACAGCATTTCCTATCAATGGGTCTATGGGTGTGTTGGGGGATGGACCTGGCATGCCTTTCCCCATGGGCTCATTGGGCTGCAATTGTGCTTCTGAAGTCTCCCTGGCGGTGAATGCTGCCTCTTCTGTCCTGTAGCCAAAAGAGTCATGTGTCAGTCTCTGCAGGGGATGAATCACTCTTTTTGGTCTCAATTCTCTAGGCTCAGCCAGGGTGGAAAGGACTCTCTCTGGGGATGTGGCAGGCTTAGGTATCTCTGGGGTGGTCTCTTCTCCTGTGGTTCTGGCTATTGCATGGAATGCTCACTGGCCTGCCTTACTGGTTCCCCAAGGATGTCCTCCTGTTCCTGCATGTGGGGCATAAATTCAGGTTCCTGCATGTGGGGCATAAATTCAGGTGAGTCCACTTCAAAGAGCTCAAGTGGCAATAACCAGTTCATACAGCTCTCCTCCTGATCCCTCTCTTTCTCCAGCACAGAAGAAGGCAGTGTGTATGGGTCACTGGACCTGTCCTCTCTGTGCAGAGTTCCACAGGTGGTAATGTATGCTGCTGGGGCACACGTACTGCCTCATTCAGTGGTAGGAGATGGTTTAGCTACCACATCTTAGTGGCCCCTTCTGAGCAGATCCTGTACACTGTAGCCCAGCCAGTTTCTCACAGACAATGTAGGGTTGGGAGCTCCACCAATCAGCTAATTTATGTTTCCCTGGGATGTCCAGATTCCTCAATAGCACTCGATCACCTAGCTGCAAGTCCCAGATTCTCACCTTCAAGTCATGGTTCCTTTTGTTCCTGCAGTCTCAGATCTCTGAGATAGACTGTGCCCTCCTGTATACAGTTTTCAGATTCCTCCTCAACTTGTCCACATAATTTCAGTGTGAGGCCAATGATATCTGGACTAATGAAACTCCAAATGCTAAGTCTACTGGCAATCAGGCTTCCCTTCCAAACATCAGCTGGTAGGGAGAGTATCCAGTAGTATCATTTTCCGTACTTTTGAATGTTTACCCCACGACATAAATGTTTCAACTCCAGTGCTGCTTCTGCTCTGCAGTCAATATTCCTAATATATCAAGGACAGTATAGTTAAACTTATCAGGCTGCAGATCCCCTTGGGGATAGTAGGCAATGGTGCATGACTTCCAGATGCCCAACAAGTTGAGCAATTGTTTGATTAGCTGACTCTCAAAGTCTCTGCCTTGATCAGAGTATATTTGCTGGGGCAGCTCATAATGAACAAAACATTTCTCCACCAGAACCTTGGTTACCGTGACTGCCCATTGGTCTTTCATTGGGAATGTTTGTGGGTAACAAGTGAAGTGGTCTGTCACCATTAATACATTCCCCTGCCCATTGGTATTGGGTTCTATATACAGAAAGTCAAAGAAGACTAACTCCATGGGTCTTTGGAGCTAGTGACCCATTGGAGCAACCCTCGAAGATAGGGCCTTTTGCCAAATGCAGCATATATAGGACCTACAGTGGCCCTCGACTTCCGCTTTCATACATGGCCAACAGAACTGATCCCTCAATAGTTTGAAGATTCTCTCTGGCCCTAAATGTCCATGGTCATTGTGTAATGCAGTTAGTACTGCATCTCTATGTTTCTCCAGGAGGAACAGCTGCCACTTTTCCTCGAGACCACTGGAGGGGCCTCCCTTATAAACCACCCTATTCCAAAGCTGGAGCCAGTCCCATTCTTTAAGCAGCAGCCAGGCTGTCTTCAGGGAGTTGGTCAGCAAGACCTCCCAACGACCACTCTGCAGAGCCCTCAAGGTCAGCTCACAGAGAATATATTTGCCCTGATCCCTGCTCAAATTCTTCTTGATTAATATTGGCAGCCCCCCTCATCTGCCTGGGATTGCAGTATAACTTGGGGACACTTGCAGTTGTGACCCCAACGGCCTCCGCTCCCATTGCTCGTCTAACCCAGTGTTTAATCTCTCAATATAAGGCTTGTATAGCACCTAATCCAGTCTTTGCCAGTAGCCTTAGTGCCATGAGGCCTTCTCGATAAGGCATCTACATCTTATTTCCCTACTCCGGGCTGGTGTTTTAGGCTGAAATGGAATCCAGACAAAGAGGCTAACCTGTCCTGTGGTATCAAGCTTAGACGTTGTGAAGAGATATGTCAATGGGTTGTTGTCAATCTTGACCTCGAACTCTGCCCCATATAAATAATCTTTCAGCTTATCCACCAGCCCATTTCAATGCCAGGAAATCTAGTTTATGGGTGGGGTAATTCTTCTCAGCTGGGACAAGGCCTCTGCTGACATAGACAACCAGCCTACACTATCCATCATGTTCCTAATATAACATCCCTCCAAGGCTGTCCCAGCTAGCATTAACATGTAGTTTGTAGGTTGATTTGGGTCTGCATAAGCCAAGACGGAAGTGTCAGTCAGGTTTCTCTTCAATTGGTCGAAAGCCTGTTCACACTGCTTTGTCCGCTCTGCTTGAATGGACTCCCAGGACTTACAGACTGTTAGATATATCTTCTGTTTCCTCATTCCTCAACAGATCATTAAGGGGGCTGGCTGTCTTTGCAAACTCGTCAACAAACATTCGATAGTATAGCAAAACCCGAGAAATGATCGTAGGTCAGCCACATTTTGAGGTCTGGGCCAGGAGGTGATGGCCGCAAGCTTCGTGGGGCTAATTGCTATCCCTTCTGCAGGGACAAAGTGACCAAGATATGTGACATAGTTGGAAGAATTGGCATTTCTCTAGGGATAGCTTCAACTCTTTTTCATGGAGCCCGGGCAAAACCTTCTCCAGGCACTCCTCATGTTGTTCAAGGATCTTACCAAAGACAATGATATTGTCTAGATATATTAACACCTCTATCAGATTCATGTCTCCCACTGTCCGCTCCATAAGTTGCTGAAAGGTCGCTGGGGCCCCTGATAATCCTTGAGGCATCCGATTAAACTCATAGAACCCCAAAGGGCAGATGAAAGCAGTTTTG